TTTAAATTCTTTTTGATCATCAACACTATATTTCATAGGTTTGACCCTTACTATAGTATCTGAATTAATTAATTCTATCTTTGTCTTTACTTTATCTATATTCCATTTTTCTAATGGATTTTCAGAATATGTTTCAGAGATTTCTCTTTTCAATTTTTATAACCTATTTTCTGTTGTCATTTTTAATACTGTAACTGGTTTAAATTTTTCTGTACTCCAACATCCACCACGCTGGGTTGAAGAACTCTGATGTTTTATATCTCTATATGCAATTGTAACAGCTTTATTTATTTTTAGTGTAAATATTTTATGTGCACAAGGTGTTGTGAACATGTACTTATCAATATATTGTGTAAATTGCGCATATTTTAATAGAAAATTTTGTCCTAATAAAATATCACATCCAATTGTAGTTGACATATATATTGTATCAACAAATACTTCTCTAAAGGAAATTAGAAAAGGTACTTGGTTAGCATACTTACTGTATATTACCTTATTTCCACCTGCTGTTGTAGCAGTTACTACTTTCTTTGAATTATATTTCCAATATTCAGATGACAGTACATTTGGTAAGCATAAGCTTATTGTACTTCCTGTATCTAAGTAAGCATGAAATTTAATTCTACAATAATTTTTTATATTGAGTTTAATTTCAATATATGGGCTCATAGGATTAGTACTTATTATTCTTTCCATGATAACAATGATTTCATATTTTCATCTATTCTTGGAATGATAATTGGATTATCATTAACTGTTATTTTCAAATATCCTTAGCAGATTTTATAAGGACTATATTTTTCAAAAAAGTTCATTCCTAGCAGAATAGGTGAACGATCTACTCCATATAATTCATCCTTGTATAGAATTATTTCTTTAGTATATTCTTTCTGATCCTCTCCTACAAGTATAAGGGGAAATTTAATATATTTTCTTATTTCAAGATTATTTCCTAAATAATCCTTAAATATATATGGTTCTGGTATTTCAAAGTCTATTAGATGATTAACAAACTTGGCATTTACATGACTTTTATCTGCTCCAGTATCTATAAGGACAAGAAGATTTTTCTTAAATCCTTCTTGGTTTACATATCTTGTCTTAATGTAATATTGTGAACTTGATGGTTCAACAATACTTAAATTTTTAAGTCTACTTATCCTAGAGTCTTGTCTAGAAGGAAATCCTGCAATAAGATTGTCTCCTTCTAAGCTGACACTATTTTTTCTTATTAATTTTCCTTCAAAATTACTTTCTTTTGCTTGTTTATGGAAATCAAGCATTATTTGTTCTGGTATCGTTACTTCATGTTCTTGATATTTCCTAGGAGGTATGTATTGTGCTAATTCCTCAAAATCTTTATGTATTATCATGTTATCAGTTATTTTTCTTAAATTGTGATGATGGCTAGTACTAAAAGCAAAAATTGATTTTATACTTATACTAATAGCCTTACTTTTTCGTAACATCTTTAAATTTCCAATTCTATAATATAGATTGAAACTTTGATCAATATTTTCATCACTTAATGATATAGCATAATTTGGTTTTACTGTAAATATTATCTTTTGATAAACTAAATTTCCTACAACTGTTCCTAATAGAGCATCTATAGGATCTTGTAAGATTCTATTGTCCATACAGTATATTTCTATTGGTATATTCATACCTTCTCCTGTAGATTCTAAGAATTTTTGTTCTATTTCTTCTACATCTGTAATCATATATTGTTTTTCTTTATGCTTTTTTTCCTTTATTATTTTCTTTTTGTGTTGTCCTGAAATCTTGGGGTGGATTAATTATAATCCTATCTTTTCCTCTAAGATTTTTATCTAATAGGGCATTTCCTATTTGTAAATTATATTCTAGATTCTCTAATCTTTTATGTATATCCCCAAAATTTTCATTTGTGGTATTTTTAGGTAAATAAGGATAACTATGTTTTTTGTGTTTTTCGACTTTTTTCAAAAATTCTTCTATTATATTTTCTTCATCTACTGTATTCATCATAATTTTTGGTTCGTAACCTAGCTCTGATACCATTTCGTTGGAGCGTGCAGCGGAGGGGTTAATATTTTTGAGCCAATTAAATTTTTCATAAGTATTTAAAATATCACAATAAAATTCACTATTTTTTACCAATATTTTTTCTTTAATAATTATATTTAATTCTTTAATTCTTCTTCTTAAATTAAGAATTAATTTATATATATCTTTTTCCATTTTGATTGTTTCATCATCTATGGAATCATTTTTATTTTTTAGTTTTGGGTCTAGATATTCTATAAAGAAGTCTTTCAGATCTTCTTCCAAATAGATTAATTCGTTTTCTGTAGCAGTTTTTAGGTCAATAAAATTTTGTATAATATTTGGATCTAAATTTATTAAGGAATTTTGATCTATATTTCTTTGAGGACTTATTTGAAGGTTTTTAGACATTGTAGTGGCTTTGGTTGCAATTTCTCTGTTAAGGGTATTTTTGGAAAATTGATTGTTTGGAGACTATTTTTCAAATGTTTTTATTTCTTAGACTAATTTGAAAAATCTTCCTTTTATTTAAGCTATTAAGCTGTATTCCCCGCTATCGCAATACTATCCGGGAATTAGGATTACCAAACCTTTGCTTTCTCTTGGACAGCCTGATGGCCAGAAGCCAAGTGACAAGACTGTAGCCGTATGTAGGAGGTGCTGATGATGCCTTCAACACTTTCTTCAGTGAAACTGGTGCTAGAAAGCAGGTCCCACTTGCTGTCTTTGTGGATCTCGAACCCACTGTCATTGACGAGGTGAGGACTGGAACCTACCGTCAGCTATTCCGCCCTGAACAGCTCATCAGTGGCAAGGAAGATGTTGCCTGCTATTTTGCCCGTGGTCACTACACTAGTAAATTACTTCAACGTAGTCACTTCTGGTCATATTACTATTTGTTAGTGTTCAAACAAAAGTGTGAAATTTTGATTTTGTGCAATTGGAAAAGAGATTGTCGACCTGTGCTTGGACCATATCAGAAAGCTTGCTGACAATTGCACTGGCCTTCAAGGGTTCCTTGTCTTCAATGCTGTTGGCGGAGGCACTGGTTCAGGATTGGCTTCCCTGCTCCTGGAACGCCTATCTGTTGACTATGGAAAGAAATCGAAGGTTGGCTTCACAGTCTATCCTTCTCCACAGGTCTCCACTTCGGTTGTGGAGCCTTACTACAGTGTCCTCTCCACCTACTCCCTGCTTGAACGAACTGATGTTGCTGTACTTCTAGACAATGAAGCCATTTATGACATTTGCAGGCGCTCTCTTGACATTGAGAGGCCCACCTACATCAACCTTAATCGCCTCGTCTCTCAAGTAGGTGATACTGCATACTAATTAACGGTCTTTGTTTAATATTCCTACTTTCGTCTCTATTTTGATTTTGGCTTGTACTGAATGTCGTTGGGGTGCAGGTGATCTCATCCTTGACCGCATCACTGAGGTTTGATGGTGCTCTCAACGTGGATGTCACGGAATTCCAGACCAACTCGGTTCCTTACCCCAGAATCCACTTTATGCTTTCCTCCTATGCTCCTGTCATCTCAGCCGAGAAAGCTTACCACGAGCAGCTTTCTGTTGCTGAAATCACCAACAGCGCCTTTGAGCCCTCATCAATGATGGTCAAGTGTGATCCCTGCCATGGAAAATACATGGCGTGTGTTGGGAATCTACTTATACATGCACAGCGGAAAATTAAATTATTTCGATTCCCATCCAATAGATCTCATTGTGTTTGATTAGGAATTGTAATAAGATTGTACCTTTTTCAGATTTGCAATCCTTTTGCTTTTTTTTTCGTTCCACAACTTTGATTCGCCATCACAGCTGTCCAATTGTCCAGCCTCCAACGGTGATCCACACAGAGAAAATGATTGCAGCCTCTAGGGTT